CATCAGGCTTAAATTTGAGGGCTTCATGCATATGAAATAAAAGATGAAAGGAACCCTCACAAGTCACAACAGTTTGGATTTCTTTCTTTAAGAGTTAATCTTCAAAAGCAGAGCTACTCTTAAAGGTGAATCTTAATTACATTTTGGAACTAAAAAGATATAATATAAAACAGTCAGTAAGTTTTCTCTCTGAAAATATAGAAAAGGAACAAGAATTTTCACTGTATGTTAAAAATGCGCATGTACAGTTAAGTGCTTATGATCAACAAAAGGTACAATAAATAGAAGACAGAGTAAGTTCTCAAAGTTGTTCATCCTGGAATAAGATGTCAGCCTTTGGCTACCTAGGAATGAAAGATTCAGTCCCCCAATTGGAAAACAGTAATCATGCTGTATGCCCACTCCCCCATGCTGTCCCCTGAGAGGATGCAACTTGCACGCTTTTCTTTAGAGAGACGCTCATGAGTGCTTTCAAGTGTGGTACCGGAGCTGTGCTCACAGTTTCTAGTTCTGAATTCACAAAGGCATTGCAACAACATGCTGGGGCACCAGGCGTTCAAACTAAAAACTGCTGGCGGCGGGGGTGGTGTTCTGGTTATACACTAGGCTATCCCAGTGTTCACAGAACAGCAATGTGAGATTTTAATCCTAAAAAAAAAAAAAAGTGCATTTCGTTTCACTTAGGAAAAAAAAAAAATCCAAGTCCCCTTGCGGTTAAACGGGAGTCATATGAAATCCCGCGTTTTTGTTTCAGTTCGCGGAGTTGGCTACTTAGTAACTAGTCCTCTGTTGCCATCTACAGGCAAAGTGTCCCATAACAGGACACACGGGAACACGCTAGTGGGACTCCGTATACAACTCAGCTTCCCAGAATCACAATTATTTGCACACTGATTAGTATGGATTTGTTCAATTAGACAGAAATGCTCCATTTGCATGAGCAAAATGCAAAAGAAGAACTTTAAAGCATTAGGAAAATTATCGGTTAAAATAATAAACAGAATTAAATGAGGAAAAATAAATTGGAACTGACATCTTAGTCATCAGTTCTTCATCAAGCTGAGCAAATCTAATAATGCCTCCCTCCCTCCCTCAGCTCCCAAGAAGTCCACCGTTAAAATGTCATCTCTAATTCCATTTTATGTCTATAAATTGCATTTTAATAACCTTTTGTTTCCCTTTCTCTGTTCTGCTGTGTGTGTGTGTGTGTGTGTGTGTGTGTTTTAATCCCCCAACTACTGGGAAAGGTAGTAAAGGGACAAAGGAGTCTTTCTGAGAGGCAGCAGTTACAAGGACGGCAATGGGTTTCCACCTAATCACGTTGCCTGACCTCAATGTCAGAACACCCTTTCTCCTTTTAGAAGGGCCAGATGATCCCGGCAAGCCTCCAGCTGGTAATTACTCTCCTGGTCAACTTGAGGACCTCTTGCAACCTTAATATAAAGTTATCATTTGTCCTTTCTTTGGTCTTAATGATGGAGGGGGTGGAAAGCAGAGAAGAAAAAAATGACAACAGGAACAAAAAAAAACACTGAGGTTCAGAACCATGAGCGCATGCTAAACTACGCTCACGTCATAAATTACATCTGTGACTAGATCCTGTTTGTTATGACAGTATGCTTTTTTTCCATTGTCACTCTAGGGGAAAAAAAAGTGCCCCGAATTCCTTTATAAGCATTGCCAATCTCCAGTGGGTAGTTAGATTTCTAACTAAGGAAGGAGAAGTGACAGTTAAAGACTAATGATTTAATTGCTGATTTCCTGAAAATACAAGCTGATGGACACTACATTCTACATAGTAGAATTTTTCATTTTAAAGGGTGTATGTAATTTCCAAACAATCAGTCCCACAGAGGCAGTTTAAAATAAAATACATTATTTTATAGCCTCCGGGGAGAGCATACATGCCCGTGGGAAAAAAATTCTGTCTGAATGAAATTTGTGCTGCAATCAGTTTTTTTCTAATCTATCAATAGAAGCCATTACAAAATTACATTAATTATAGGAATTTTCACATAGGTGAATTAATAATTATATTGCATTATTAAATTGCCAAATGGTGTTGACAGAATGCACCATTTATGAACAATATTCCTCCTACCTACTGCTTATATTCTGCCTCACAGCAGAATATCATTCTTTTGCAGATAAACCTTAGTTTAGTTTGAACTGGAATACAGTTGACTCTTGAACAATGAGAGGGTTAGGGATGCTGACCCCCAGCACAGTAGGAAATCCATGTATAAATTTTGACCCCGCCCCCCAAAAAAAACTTAACTACTAAGAGCCTACTGCTAACCAGAGGAAGCCTTACTGATAACATAAACAGTCGATTAACACATATTTTGGATATGTATTACATACTGTATAAATAAAGTAAGCTGGAGAAAAGAACATGTCATTAAGAAAATCATAAGAGAAAATACACTTACAGTCTTGTATTTATTTATTTAAAAAAAATCCACGTCTAAGTGGACCCACGCCGTTCAAACCTGTGTTGTTCAAGGGTCAACTGTATTATTTAATGCCAGGGCTCCTTTCTCTTGTGATGGTCCCCTGAGACTTAGTCTTTGCCCTGTAAGAATAGGAAAACTGCTGTGGGGTGTAAATTGACTTATCCAATGCTATTTTGAAAGCTAATCACAAAGGCAGCTAAACTGGCCAACTTCTGATCCCCAGCCCCTCCCTGCCACTGGTGACTGCTCCCAGGTTCTAATGGAGGGTGTGGACATCTATGAGAGAAAAGCATTCTGGAGAGGATGCATGGCAGGCCAGATACTCCTGAAACAACCCCTGAAATTTACAGTTGTGCTCTCTTTCATGCTTGAAATACTAGTGATACTAATTAACATGTGAATTGTGCTTTAAGAGGGGACAAGGCACTTTTCCAGATATTTCTCCAAATAGTTAATTACTTTGAGTCTGAGTTAAGTTGATAACGTTTTTTACGTTTGTAGTGAATAAAGAAGATTCAATAAGCACACAATGTGTAACTCAGCCCTACACCGTCCATTTTGCAGTTTATAAGTATATTGCTAGTTCATACAGTTTCCATGGAAACATGTTAGTGATGAACCGAGAAACAGATACGAAATTGTATTCAAAATGGTCCAATCATGATCCATAGACCTTGATCTTCAAATACTAGTTAAGTTTTTTGAGATCTACTTAGATAAAGTTTTAATAAACTCAGATGGATTAGGTTTCGGAATTTATCCCAGTTTGATTAAAGTAGGATTTCTCCTCAAATCTCTGTTGTCTATCCACTGGAAAATTGCCCTGAAGTTCCTGCCCTTGGTCATTATAAGACTCCCAGAATACTGTGAACAAACCATTATTGAGCAACCAAGGCAAACTTAACCAAAGACTAATTAAAATAAAAGACCAAGAAAAATGAAAACAAAAACAAAATGACAAAGGTGGGAAAGCACCCTTTCTAGCAACTTTGTAAGCCCTCAGCGGGAGCAGGAAAGCAGTCCTTTTCATGGACAAGCGTGCTGGCAGTCCATTCCAAAAGAAAATTGTGGAATCGAACATTTTGGAATAGACTTATATCTTGAATGAATGATGGAAACAGAGTATAGAAGGTCTGGTTTAGTTTAGAATCACCATGAGATTGTTATTTCCCCAAATTACTGACTGAATATTAGCTGATAACAAAGAACACTGACATCTATAAAGACATGAAGGACAATGTACTTCTCCGTTGAATTTCCTTAGAACAAACTAGAGAGAGAGGGCAAGAGGAACAACTTGCAATTTTAAACCCTCAGCGGCACTGAGGAGCATCTGAAAGAGTCTTGACTTAACACTGTGAGTGGGCTCATGAGCCAGTTACTCACTTGTAACTCACTGTGGAAAGGGTTCAATCAAAAAACATGAAATGCAAACAGTACAAGAAAGTGTATGCATACATTTGTGCCACCTGCAAATTCTGGAAGCTCCTATCAAATAGTTAGTAACCCAGATCTGGGATAGATTGTATCGAATATGTCATTTATTTATCTTTAGTTTATCTGGAGCTCTAATACACCCGAAAAAGAGAAAGAGAAAGGGAATAAAACACCCAAAGAAGTGGTAAAACATTAGTATTGCTCATGAGCATAAGATACTGTTTCATAGCACATATACTTTTTAAAATTCGACATTGCAGTGTCTAAGTTCTTTGTTGAGAAAAGAAAAACAGCTCAAGTGATTTCACATGGAATATGCTGTTAAAATTTACATACTCTGAAAAAAGAGGAAATTATTAAAAACTCAAGTAATCTGGGACTCGAATATATTTACTCTAGAATATGACACCAGGAAGTATGAGGTTTCATTATTTCTCTGCCCAATTTAATCTTTGCCTAGAGCTGCTATCAAATTGCATATAGTGTATGTCTGCATGTATAGAACAGAAAAAAAAAAATTCTTGTGCAGCCACATCAATAAAATGGTAAATGGTAAAAGGCTTCCAACTTTTAAAACAGAGATTTCTAAGGAGCAAGACACCATTATTTCTTTGGGTGTTCACAGCAACTAGGTTTCACTGAAAATCTTACTGTGCAAGCCTCCGGCTACGTTTTGGCTCTCATTTGGGTCTCGTACAAAGATCTATAGTGTTCCGAACTCTCTCTGCAGTGTTGTCTCTCTTGGCTTCCCTCTCCCTCCAGGTCCTGGCAAAAGGACACTGGGAACTGTTTTTCTCAGGGCCCCAAAGTTTGCATTGGCACAGAGTCCACTGTGGGGGAGGTTTTCTGCTTTAAAAAATAAATCATGAAATTAATATATCCTGCAAGACACCCTGGAGGTGTTGGATAATGATGTGACTCCTAGGGAAATGTTCAGCAAAAACACATCATATATACAAGCCCCAAACTTCCCCCAGTGCATTAAATGGTCGAGCTGTCTAAAGAAATGACCCATTCTGCTGTCTCTGGGTGGGATCTCCTGAGTAACGCCTGTCCCTTAGGTGGATTGCTTTTTAAAAAGTTAAGGTGGATATTTCAGATGCTTACTGCTATGACAGAAACTCCAGCTGCTGTGCTATTCGGCTTGGGGCCTGTGTTGAAGTGCTTCTTTATCTTTCCAGCTACTGATAGCTGATGTTCATTTTCTGGGAGGCCGTCATCCTGGGGGGGGCGGAAAAAAAAAGAAGTGAAAAAAGGAGAAAAAGAAAAAAAAAACGAGATAAACGGAAAATGAGGCCGAGATCTTCTAGTAACAAGCCGGGATCTTAGAATTCCAAAGATTTCAGAAATAAAGTAACCAATGTCTGTTGTTGGAAGTAGTGCTCTGAGGTCTCGTTCACTTCCACACCTGCCTTAAAATTAATTTGCTGCGTCATCTGACCCCCAGAGTTCTGTCCCTAAATAAAAGTTGTTATTTCTGTTTTTGGTTTCTATTAAAATTGATTTCAGCCAGGGCTCTGGGGACATACACCAAAGGGCAAATTAAATGTGAACCCCCTCCCCCACAAAAAATCAATGTAAACATCTTTTTTTCCTGAACCAAGAGTTTTATCCTCTTAAGCCCATCATTCAGACCCCAACACGAGGAAACTGACAGTCCTGGGCTCATGCAAGGGCCTGTAAATAAACTCAGGCTGGTTCCACAGCTCCTCAGTCGACCATTCTATAATGCCAGACAACCTCCCAGGCAAAGAGTTCTTCCTGAAGTTTTCAATCCTCCTCACTGCCTTCAAATCATCTGTTATTTTGACGTACTTCACATTGAGGCTCCTTTTAACGAAGGCTTCTGCTCTCCACCAGAGCTGTCTATGATGGAGGTTAGACAGATTGCTCCCCTTTGCTAAAGACTGTTAGGATAACACTAACCAGAGCCGTAAGTATGTGCCGCCACTTACTAGCTCATGTTGAAAAGGCTGCCCAATCCTTGAAGACAGAGATTGTGTTCTGTTCGCTCTAGAGTCCTCTGGTCTTAGCATAGCGCTTTGGCACACAGTAGATGCTTAAGACATATTTGCGGAATAAATGAATGAAGGGATAATAAAGTGTTTGTTACTATCTGTTAAAACCAAAATTCCTGGCAAGACTTCAATGCCATTCATCATTTTCCTTCTCTCGTTCCTTTCCATCATTTTGCATGTTATTTCTTGGCTCCACCCAAGAAAATAAACGGCTGCTTCCCTAGCATAACATGCTCGCTCTTCTCCGAAACCTAGTCCTCCCTTCCCTCACCGTTTGGCTATTCATGCATTCAGGCGCTAGTCACTGCATGTCTACAGTGGACCAGGCACTGCAGGAAGTAGTGGGGAAAGCTGGTGAGCAAAAAGAGGCGTGGGCTTTGCTCTTATGGACCCTGTGGCCTCTCTTTTTCTTCAAAACATGGGTCCAAATCACCTGTTCCAAATCATTTTGCCCCTACGAAGCATAATTCATTAGAATGGTTCTTCTGTAAACTCCTAATGGTTTTACATTATATATATTTGCACTCTTTACATTCTTTTTGGTCTGAGGTGATTTCGTACATATATAACTTACATATGTACATATATAACACATATATAACATATATATGTACATATATAACATATATAGGGAGTAAGTACTCCCTCTATACATTTACATATATAAGTTATATATGTACGAAATCACCTAAGATCAACAAGAATGTAAAGAGTGTAAATATATATAGTATATCATCAACTCTGAACTCTTGCCCTTTTGTATCATATCTTCCACATTTTCTGTAATCTTTGATATGAGCCCTTGGTTCAGCACCCTGCTCACAGTGGATACTCAATTTGTGATATTCTTGGACTGATTTACTAATGGCTAGAAGAAGGAACCATTATTATGCTTATTAAGTCACACCTGAAATCAAATCTGGAAGAAGGATGCTTTCCAGTGACTGCAGAGTGAATTCAAAAACTTTTTAAAAATCCGTATTGTGAAAAGAGTCAGACATAAAGTGAAGGTCAATGAGGGTAACAGTGGGATAATACTTGGGGAGGGGATCATACAAAGTACTTACTCTGTCCCGGGCTATGCTGGGGATGGCTGGGGGTGGGAGAAAAATAGTCTCTGCCCCCCCAGAACCTTGCGGGCTAATTGAGAGACAAAGTATGCACACACAATGTCAAATAATAAAGCAGATCAACAAGATAAGAAGAAGCTGTCATAAGGCATGGAGCCTCGTGGCTCAGCTAGAAACACGGAAGGAGTTCAGAGGAGAGAGGATGTATTTTCAGTTGTGAACAGAGCAGACTTCCCGAGGACTACGGCATCCAGCCTGGTCCTTCATGAGGAGGAGCAACTGACCCTTAGAGGGGTCACCCGCTGTTCTGGTGTATAGAAGGGAGCGAGTGGGAAACCTCAAGTCCTGTTTGCCAAACAATGAGTTAACTAGTTTATCTTTAGTTAAGATAATGATGGAGAAAGCTGAAAAAAAAAAAAAAAAAAAAACCAGGAAAAGACTGGCCACAAAAGACTACCGGAAAGATCCAGAGATGGAAGCCTTTGTCTCCATTAGGAATAAAAACAATGCTTTTTTTAATAAGAGGGGTGTAAGGGTAGGAAGTGTGGAGGGCTAACTACCTTTCACTCACTCACGAAGAATTAGAATCTTGCAATCTAGAGCTTTAAACACAAGGGTCTTTTTTAAAATGCTGGGGGTTTTTTTGTTGTTGTTGCTGTTTTTTAAAGATTTTATTTATTTATTTATTTATTTGAGAGAGAGAGAATGAGAGATAGAGAGCACGAGAGGGAAGAGGGTCAGAGGGAGAAGCAGACTCCCTGCGGAGCAGGGAGCCCGATACGGGACTCGATCCCGGGACTCCAGGATCATGACCGGAGCCGAAGGCAGTCGCTTAACCAACTGAGCCACCCAGGCGCCCTAAAATGCTGTTTTAATGGTGGATGGAACAACAGGCCTCTGAAATCTAAGTTAGAATTTTGGAAGCACTTAAACATTTGACGAGGGATGAAATGACGTGCGTTTACTGAGAGTCTTCCAAGTATTAGTGTCATGTATCTGGCACAGGTTGGGGCTCTGCCTGAGGGAAAGGGAGCAGCCTGAGACAGGGGTTCCCCACTGGGCCTCACCCCCAAGATTATATATACTTGTATATATAGTATGTAATCATCTCTTAATAGAGTTCCAGGCTAGCTCAGGCAAAGCGATTTGTATGGCAAATCTGTATGACAACAAACGTGAAAAACATAATCGGGAAGCTGGCTGAAGGAAGGTTTTTCTCTTTAGGACAACAACACCTTGAGCATATTTGCTGTCTCAGGATCAGAAGCTGCTGGAAAGGAAGAGCCGGAAGACACGAGATGAGCTAATCAGTGTGAGCGGCAGGGATGAAAGGGAGGGGAAGCCGTTTACCCTGGGGAGGCGCAGGTGTACCTGATGCAGGACGAAGTAAGGAGAAAAAGGGTGAGGCCCGAGTTTGAAGGCGGAGGGGAGCAAAGATAAAGATAAAAGAGAAAGGCAGGGAGCGAGGAAGGTGACACAGGTGTTAAGTGCTCTGTGGCCCTGGGCAAGTGATTTACACATACGAGCCCCTTAAGTCTCAGATTATCCTCTATGATGATATGCATTATTAGGACCATTTCGAAGATGAGCAAACTGAGGCTCAGCAAGATTAAGTAATTTGCTCAAGGTCACACAGCTAGAAAGCGGTTGAGTCAGGACTGAATTAGGTCTGAAAGTATTTTTCCACAACACCACATTGCATCCATCCAGGGCCTTCATTCGCATGGCATCGGTTACAAAGGGGTCCCTAAGAGTTAAATGGTAGGATTTGAGGAGTCCTCTCTCCCATTATGAAAGTGGCACCATGGTAAGGAGAAAGAAGGATTAAGTTAGGGACTGAAAAAAAGAGACTATCTGGCTAGGCCTCAGTGGAGCCTGGGAAGCATCTGCATGAAGGTCAGTAAAAGGGATGCTGAGCACATCAGGGGGCCCAGTGGAATGCAGTTGACTTTTATGTCAAGGAGAGACTGGATGTCCATGATACTGGGATGTGGCAATGTGACCTACTCTGGCCAGGCTCTCGAATCCTCTGTGGGGTAGACAGTACCAGAAGGCCTGGCTGACACTGGATGGCATGCAGTTGCATTGGGTCACAGTGTGGTCCTATGATCCACACAGGCTATATTGAACAGGCTTGGTGCAAATAGGGAACAAATAGTAGGGATTCCATAGGAGCAGCCCCTTCCCGATTTACTGAGGGCAATTCATCCCCTGCTGCACCATCCCACCATCTCCCCATTTCCCCACCCGTGGTGCCATCTTAGCAGAACTTTCTTTTTTTTACCTGGCTTTTCTTCCCCCTGCCAGTTCCTGAGCTAAGAGTTTGCTTTCTCACCACCCTCAGAATGGACTTTGTTATTTCCCAGCTCTGTCTTGGTCCTGATCTCCTGTCAAGACTCTTAGCAACTCTTTTAGATGTTGGGTCCTGAGGGTTCAGACCTCCAGCTTTAAATTCTAGTGAAGGTTTCAGCTTCCCTTGGGTTATTAGTTCATGTTGAAGCAATGAAAGTCTTGAAACAACCCTCACAAGTTGTCAGAGATGCTTCTGACTTCATAAATCTTAAAACATTTCAGGGTTGTTTTTTTTCCAATGAAATAAGGTGTCTCAGAGAAGGGTATGCGTGCATGTGGGCGCACGTGCACAAAGACACACAGACAGACACACACACACACACACACACGCACCCCTCACAGCAACTAAAAGTCTGCAGAGTTTCTATATCAGTTTTGAAGACTTTGAGCATAATTGGATTAAAAGACATAAACAACTGGCTTTGCAGGGACCTAATCTGTACCTGAGGCATACAGATTGATGATGGAGATTTAGCTAACTTACTGTCTTGCATCAATAAAATAAATAGGGTCATTAAAAACATACATTTTTATATATACATCTTTATCACCATTATTCTGAATAGATTGTATGCCAAAAATGTGCTATGAATTTTCTAAACGTGACAAACCTGGCGGTGTGTTACAAATAGTTATAGTATTATTACCATACGTTCTGGTATGTAGTTTCTGGGAGTAGTTTCTGAAGTTTCACATGGGCTGGTTGTGGTTTGAGGTTAGTGGTTTTTGATTTAGCAATTCCCATCCACCACTTGGCAGAGCATTGCAACTGACAAGAACA